CATTTTTCAGGAGCTTCAAACCGTGATCTCGTGGAAGGGCTGGTAAAAAAAAGATATAGTTTAGGAGGATATAGTATGAAAGAGGTTTCAAGAGTGGGAAAAAAAAAGGTATACCATCGTTTCTATGAGTTGCCACGGTAAAAGGGCTTGTCCAATATAGATCCCTACATTTTCTATTTCCTAGACATATACCCATCACTCTATAAATCTATGTGTAAAACCCAATTTCAAATTTAAATGACTAGTAGGATATAAGAGGTCGTAGTATTTCTATGTTTTTATATCATTGCCACCAAACTTCATATTTTATTTATAATTTATTTCAAGCATTCCATAATTGTAATTAATATACTCCCTATTAATAACATATCAATCACCCCATTTCTTTTAGTTGCCATTCCCTCTCACATCTCGCCCCTTAAAATTACAACAACAACAACAAAAATCTGTAAATTACATATCCAATAATGTACCTATGAGCATTATTTACCCACAGGTAAATTATTTTACAATACACCTGTAAATGTGTATAGGTACATTATTTGGAATAGATAATTATGTACACTTTTCATACTAGGTAAATTATGTTTTTCATAAAACAAACAAGTAATAGGTACATTATTTTTTCAACATAATTAGTATGTACAGTTTTATTCATAAACAATTATAAAGTGGATTATTAGTCATGTATAATTCATAAAAAGAAAATAACATAAACATTTTATTAAACAAACCGATTACCTAGATTTGAATTTATTGTTAATTTTTTTTTAAAAATGTTTCAAAATTAATTCCTACATCTATTACAACCATTTGGAGATCTTTCCAAATTCAACATCTGTCATTATATACAATCCAATTAAAAACTGTTTCCATATTGATTCCTACATTAATATACAAAATGCAATAATGGCTTAGTTGGGGGTATTTTTGGAATCTGAAAAGTACAATAAATCAGATTTTATGCTTAATTAGGTAACTTGCTGAGTTGGATCCTAGTCATGGGTTTTTACTTATACAAATTGGGTATTATTTATAGGAACAAAAAGCGAAGTGTTTTAGGTAAGGAAATTGAATTTGAAGGGTGTAAGCCAAATTTACTAACGGTAAAAAGATTAGACAAATTGTATTTCTTGGATACATAAAATTTTGGTTGAATGCGTTCTTTGTATAGAACATTCAACATGTTATCTAGAAATCATCACAACTGATGGTATAAAAATTAGAGATATTTAGTTATGGGAGATTCACTATTACACCTAATATAGGAGTCCAAATTTTATAAATAAATAAAAAAATAATAAAAATCCTATATGAAATGAACTTTAGAAATACACCCAAAAATCATTTACAACATAACAAAGGCTTTTAACTTCTTATAAATTACAAAACTGCCATCGATTTCTTAAAACAAGCCCAACCCCAAAACCTCATTAAAAAAATGTCAAAACACTCAATAAGGCATCAAAGTAATTTAATAATCAAAATTAAATTCAATAGGGCCAGCTGTCATTTTTTAAGTTTTTTTTTTGGGTTTGTTTATAGAAATTAAATGGTATAGGTTTTATCTATATCGTTAGTGCTAAAAATGGGTATACAACTAAATATCTCTAAATGTCTATAAACAAACCCAAAAATTAACAACTGGCCTTATTGAATTTAATTTTGACTATTAAATAACTTTGATATCCTATTGAGTGTTTTTGGTTTTTTTTATTTATGAGATTTTGAGGTTGGGTTTGTTTTAAGAAATCGATAACAATTTTGTAACTTATAGGAAATTTGAAGTCTCTTTGTTATGTTGTAAATGGGTTTTGAGTGTATTTCTAAAGTCCATTTCATGTAGGGTATTTTTATAATTTAGACTCCTATATTGGGTATAATAGTGAATCTCCCTAAAAAGTATATTTTCTTTATTTTGGAATTGTAGTTGATCTACTTTCTTTTTTAAGGAGAAACAAGTTTTTGTCCTTCCAATATTTCTGGAAGCTGTTCCAGTAGTCTTGCTTGGTATTTTCTTTTTTGTGTATGTATTTTGAGGTTGAATAATAGTTTTTATTTGGATATAAGTTCATGGTTTAACATAGAGCTTGAGTACTCCTATCATACTTAGTTAAATACTAGATTAGTATAATAAAATATAAAATACATGTCTGTATTATTCAGAAAATTTATTTAAAACAAACGATGAAAAATTCAGCCATTATATAAAAATTTAAAATTATCTATACAATTTTTATTGTTTGTAGACTTTTTTTCAATATGTGAAATATACAGATAAAATATGTGAATAATATGTGTATTATTGTAAAATATTTGAAATTTTTTTATTATTCATGAAAAATATGTATGTGTGTGTATGACAAGCGAATAATACGTTCACGTTCAAACATCGCATATTTTTTCGTACAATTAAGAAGTGTGTGGGAAATAAAAATATTGTTTTTAAAATATGTACATATGTGTATAATGCATAAATATACTAATTTAGACTTATATATATAGATACGTAAATGTATAATACGCAAATTTACTAATTCAAGCTCATATATATATATACCTGGAGAGCGAGGAATAGCAAGAAAGGGTAGAGGAGGCACTTAAGAATTTAAGAGGAGTTTTGCAATTACTTGTACAAGATTCATAAGTTATTTTGACAATAACAGTGGAGCGAGGAATAGCAAGAAAGGGTAGAGGAGGCACTTAAGAATTTAAGAGGAGTTTTTCAATTACTTGTACAAGATTCATAAGTTGTTTTGACAATAATAAAAGAGAGAAGGGGCATGTGCCCTCTTAGCAGAAAAACTTACTTGTAACTTTGCTATTCGCGCCAATAATACAATGACATATAGAAAAGTTACCCTACGTGTCATTGCATTCAATGACGAACCCATGAATATTTATAGAGGTGGACTATTTTTTTTTTTTTTTGTTGGGATCAATTATTAGCCCTAAATTTAAACAAATATTTATCAAAAGCAATATTTCCTTCAGATTAATGAAAGTGTATACTTTTTTACTAAAGTAGTATATTTTCTTCAGATAAAAAACTATTTTCAGAATTCATTATTAAAAAAAAAAAAAACTATTTTTTAGAGAGATATCTAAACAAAGAAAACCTAGAAAAACCAAAATTCAAAGGCTTAAACGAAGAACAATTTGAAGCTCGAGGACTTTGGGTCAGCAGAGTGGTTTAGTTAGGGAGAGTTCATATTTTAATATTTCCAAAAGAAGCAACATCAATAAATTCGAAAAATAAAATAAAATTAGAGAGACATATAAACATTATTTGAGCCAAATCAAAGCAGAATAAATCAAAGAAGAGAGAAGAAAAAAAATTAGTAATTGAAGTATTAAAGTATTTGGCTGTAGATATGGGTTGCTTTCTAGAAAAAATGGTGGGCTATTATTTAATTTTTATAGATTGAACTTACACAACTAAGCCTAATTTGTCTCTTTCCAAAGTCAACACTAGGCTAGAGCCTCCTCTAGTCCAAGCATGGATCCGCCCTTGATTGCCTTATTGGATGGAGATAGCAAAGGGCTTATCTTATAGATCAAGTGGATAAGAGCAATATTCATGCACTTGAATTGAGGTATCGAGTTTAAATACTCCCTCTCCAATATTACTTGTATTGAAAATAAATATAAACTTTCTATGCAAAATATATATATACCAAAATTAAAAAACATGTATTCAATTGATTAAATGGTAGTTATTTTAGTGTTTTACTTTTGGAAATATTGTCGTGTATTCATTTCATCATAATTAGATGTCTTATTAGTTTATGATTTATCTAATATTTAATTTTCTTTTTTCCAAAACTGGCTCATGAATCAAGATTTGGAAAATAAACAGCTCAGATTATTGTTAATCTTTTTAGTAGTCCCTGAATTTTGATCCGATTTGCATCTGAGTATCTCAATTTCCAAATGGTTCCCATGGTCCTTTAACTTTAGTTTCGTTTGGACAAATGATCTTGTCATCAATTTTGTTAACTTTTTCTGTTAAATGCAAGGGCAAAATGATATTTTTTATATTAAAACCAAAAAAATGAATAAAAAATCATATCTTTAAAATAACAATAAAATCAAATCAAATAAAAAACCAAAAAAGAAAAAGAAAAATCAAGTTTTGGGGGAGTAGAAATTGGGATAGAGGGGGAGAGAGAGAGTTTAATTTTAATTTTTTAGTTTTTTAATTTTTTTATTCATATTTTAATCAATTTTGATACAAAAATACCATTTTGCCTTTGCACTTAACAGAAAAGTTAACAAAATTTACAGTAGGACCATTTGTCTTAACGAAACTAAAGTTAAAGGACCACGGGAACCATTTTGAAAATTAAGGTACTCAAATGCAAATCGGGTCTAAATTTAAGGACTAATAAAACGATTAACCATATATTATAATAAAATCCAAAAAATGTCTCTCAAATAAACTTTTTATTTTATTCACTAATGATTTGGCAACTCCAAGGTTCTGCTATTGCCACAATCCATTCACATGAAACAAAGTCACTTTATTTATTAAAAACATGTTTTATCCATATTCTTGAAAGAATCCAACTATACGAAAATATTAATGTGACTCCCTCTCCACTTGATCATTCTTCCACCTTTTTATTTCTCCTTTCCATATCAAACCTCCCCCACTTGATTTTGGACCGTTTGTTGTCCCATCCCAATCCCATCTAATCCAATCCAATCCAATCATTTCATGATCCCACAGCATCTTACGATGAACTCAGCCTCACCCAATCATCGAACTTTATACTTTTATACATACATTTTGTGTATTTTAGTGCTTATTTGCTTGCACGTCCCTAATAAACTACTTAGCTGCCCATCTGTCAACATGACGATAT